TCCCCTTCAGCCGTGCCCATGCCTCATGGTCTTTAAGCCAGTCTGCAATGTAAACCATAATGCGCAGCTTCAGCACTTAGTTTTTAGGAAGTCCCTCACAGTCTCCTTCCAATCAGGGCCTGCGAACTGCCTTGCCTCCCGGGTCCATGAGCTCATGTTCCCCTGTTCCTGCACTGCTCCTGTGCCCCCAGGGCATGCCATACCCTGCTTCTGCCAAGGTGAGACCAAAACTGAGTCTATAATCCCTAGGTTTAGCTGATATGTGTCTCAACTCTTCCTCTTCCTGGACACCTGCCCTGAGGCTGTCTTAACCAATATCAGCAGCTTTCTAATAGTCTAATTAGTAGGGCTGCCTCTGCCTCTGTAGTGAGTGTCTCTCAATCAACTGCTCAGGGTTTGTCTTCTGCAGGTTGCCAATTTCAGCCTTTGGCGACTGCAGCTACCCCAGTTCTGCTGCTCACTCCTGCCTGTGCAGGATTTAGGTAGTGTCTCTCGCTGTATTGTGGTGGCTGACTTCCACTTTTCTTAGAGTACTGGGGGTTAGGGACCCCCCCCCCCCTTAGCTTTGGGGCTTAGGGGCTAAGGGTTCAATGACAATAGGATCAGGCAATTTAAAACTACCTCCTTTGTACTACAATATGTTGCACTAGAACCAGAACTACTGCATGTGACGTGTTCAGTTACAAGTCAGAACACCTTTTTGCTTACTTCTGTTATTTTTTCCCCCTAGGCTCCCAGTTCTTATCCTCTTATCTCCGTAAACATAACAAGCCAAACTTATCATTGGTATAAGTCCACTGAGTCTGATTTTGCGGCTTCTTTCTACTTCTGGAAAAGCGCAAGCAGGGAAAAATTGGCTAGATTGTGCCAGCTGAGAATCTGTCTGGGATGGGTAGGAGGTCCTGTGAAATGCAAATAGATCTCAATAGTGTCCCAATCAGTTTTAACTGTCCCTGTGTGAAGGCACATCTGAATGTTCTGGCACTCATCCATATACCTATGAGTCACTTTATTTTCTTTTTGAATCATGAACTCCATAATACTCTTCCTCTAGCACAACGATCATTGGAGATTTACTCCCTTTATAAAAAATTGTTTAGGTAAAGATAGGGCATAAACAAAGATGCACTTAAAAACAGTCCCACAAAACACTCAAAGAAATAAAGCAATAAAAATAGGAGACAGGAGACTTTAGTGTGGAGATTAAATAGAGAGGAAAATAAAATCTCATTCCAGAGCATAGTTAAGATATGAAAATCCTG